TACGCCTGAAACATCGGTTGCCTCTCAGTTTTACATTGATTTTCTAGCGTTCTAGTGTTTCGTCTCATTCTTGTATTTTTAGTATGTTTTTGTCGGGTTATTGGTAACACACTGATGAAATATCATGCAGATTTCTCCAACAGTGGGAACGGTTTTAGCGAGAGGCGATGTTTTTAGGACAGCATTCAGCATGTCACGGCTTCAGAGCCGAATAAATTCTCCTCTGACAGTAGAACAGCTCCAATAGCCTACGCTTCTTTTACAAAGTTCATAAACATTTTTGCATAATGAGATGTCTGTCTGTCTGTCTGTCCGTCCGTAGTCGGAAATAGGTCACCATTTCCGACTACTGGATGGATTATTTCGATGTTGTCCGGAATTGTTAATTACTTTGAAAGATGTACAGATTTAATTTAATTACAATCTCTGCTCTGCACGAAGTCGACGTGAAATGTTATAAAACTGCTCATTGTGCAATTCTCTAATTCACTAATTGCCAATGCTGACGTATGTCGTGATTCAGTTTGTCAAAATGTCTTTATTTAAGTCATTGAACATGTGTATGGATATTTTTGGGACACACTGTACTTTCCACTGTCGCCTTAACCACGTAAAATGACTGGCGTTACTGTCCACGAACCGACTGATCTCTGGACATTGTTTGTATTTACGGTTCGTTTAACGATGCTTTCAGTTCCTAGACTAGCGTCGGATGACAGTGAGTAATGAATTGGGAAGGATATGGAAAGAGGCGAACGTGGCCTAATTCAAGATACTATTCCGACGTTTTCCTGGAGGGACTGCGAAAAACCTCAGTCAGGACAGCGGTCTCCGGGTCGAGATTTGAACCCAGGACCTCCCGAACACGACGTAGGAGAGTTAACCACTCAACTCCGGATATTTAATAGTACTATTTAAGTTGTAGAGGTTATCTAACGCCGAAGGATATGAAAGGATGGCCATGAATGATTATCGGATTAGGAATTCCGAAGGAGGCAGTCCAAGCCTGTGTGGGCATTCGCCTTTAGACACTAAGCAAAGCAAAGAAAACCCTCAGGCAGGATAACAGGTAACCAAGCCAAGATTAGAGGTGAACAAGTGAGCTTCGCGATCTAGCCATTTTACGTACGGGTGAAGAGCGTTCAGTACCCAATGGACAGGAAACTAGATGGACCACTAAGTTGGTATCGGCAAAGTGAAAAAAAATCCCTAGCCCTGCAAGGAGTCGAACCCCTGTCGTCCACACGTGGCCAGCCACTATATGAACAGAAATATCGCGGCTTATTTAGAGCCTAATCATGAGCGATTATGTGACCTGGATTTGGAGATGATCAAGTTAATTCAGACTCTAAACCTCCTGTGTATAGCATAGCCCGAAATAATCTGTGTCAACCCTAGTGGTTACTCTATGTACCACCTACTTTAACACTCAGTAACTCTAAATTATGTCCGTAAGTTTATGTATGGGATTCGGCGACTATTCCATTAAACAGCATTAACCAACTGATCTTTATAATTCAGACGCTTTGTGTTTCTCTCGGGTAAGATGAGAACGAGCTTCGGGCTTCAACGAACAGAAAAAGGGAACTTGTTATTTCTGAAGAGCGCTGGAGAAGGAGTACGACTTTTCAGTCGCCATCAGCAGACTATAGCTTGCGAGCTGAAACACCAAACACTCGACGGAATGGTTTCTTTCTTACCAACTCAACTGCTAAGGTGGCTTCCTTGGTCCCAAAAATAAAAAGTTCAGGGGCCTCAAAATCGAGGTCGCGAAGGAGCGTTATGGGTGGGGAGACCCACGGCTCCTTAAAATAGCTGTGCCCTCCCTTAACTACATACCCACTCTCTCTCTCCTTTCCCACGCAATGTCAGTGACACTCAAAAACTGTTGCATCTCCCCAACAGATACACTACACATTCAGTTCTATCGAACAGTAAACATACACACTACCTACAAAGCAGCGATTCCGATACAAGAATTATTTTCCCACCCTCGCCGCCCGCTTTCCAACCAAATGTGGCGTATTTATATCAATTTAGTTCCTCATTCTGTATATCATTCTACCTACATAAAAATTACCCTATTCTACAGCGTGATCCAGAGATCCCTGTGCACTTGTAAGAACACAAATACATTTAGGACGATGAACTCACGGTTACAAGGAACAGCTGTTTCAAGCAACGTAGTGCCCAAGGTCATGCAGTCACGTGACACACAATCCACGGCCAACATGAGCACACGACTTTTGAATCACCCTGTATAATATTATCTTCTCTTTCATAATAAGCGTTTTACTACAGGGCTATTTCCAACAGCTGCATGTGTAAAAAAATGCACAGAAGTCGCTGAAATACAAGGTGCCTAGCAAACCTTAGTCACTCGGCTAGTCAAGAAATAACTCTCTACGGAACTCGAACGTTCACCGACATGTTCTTAAGGGCCTACCGATAAGACCTGTCCTAAGCCAAATGAATCGACTCTACACCCACCTTACTCCATTTCCCTAAAGCCCAGGTCTCCAAAATGGTCTCTTTCCTAGGAGGTTTATGGCTAAAAAAAGCTTCATTTCTCATCTCTCCCGCGCGTGTTGCAAATCTCACTAACCACCCTTGATAAAACCCGGCGACGTAAACATATATGAATCTCTTCATTATCCTCAGTACTGTGTTCTCAGACACCTGAATCATAAAATTGGGATTCCACACAAATAATTGATTGCTGTTTTTTGGAAATTGTAAAATTAAGAATGAACGACGCACATACTCACGCAGGTGAAAAATGTCTTAGCGATGGCAAGTTACATTTTTAACTATTTTAGCGGTGTACAAGTTCAAACGGCTGGGAACAGTTGGATTAAAAATGTAATTTCCAAACAAGTGTAACTGCGTTTTACTATTATCGGGGGATTATGCTAGCGCAATGCGGTCGAAACTTCAAATCATCTCCTTTGTCCTACAGACAGAAATACTTCTGTCTAATTGGCCTTGGAAAATAATTCCATGAGGCCGGCAACAGCCTATGGAGTGAGACGACGGCGACGACGACGATGATAATGATGATGATGAAATTTCAAAATAAACACGAATCAGTATTAAGTGCTCAAACGATATTACGATTTAACACTGTGTTAGAACAATTACAGATATCTGACTGAAACTTAACGCTTTGCGGGGGTAAATAGATGAAATCGTGGTTTCTTCAGAACCTACATAAAAATTCTGACGTAATACCTTTCAATACGTGAGGGATTCCCCGCTAAACCTAAACCCATGGAGTAGAGTCCTTATTGACAAATTTACTGTCATTCCGCGAGTCAAAAAATTCTCCACCTTTTATGTAACCTGAAGGTTCATTACCGTGTCCTCATGGGAACTAGTAGCTGGTCCCTATCCTGACCCCGGCGAACCCAATATACATACTTCACAACCTTATTTATTTAGCATCCATTTTAATATTATCCTCCCATCTGGGCCTACACATATGGTTCCCAAACAAGTCTCTTCCCTTCAGGTTTTCGGGCTAAAAATTTGCATTTCTCATCTCTTTCGTGCGTGCTACCCTCCCTTATCATTGCCATTGATTTGATGAAGAATTATGAAGCTACTCGTGCAGTTTTCTCCATCCCACTTCTTACTTTCTCGTGTGTTCAAATACTATTCTCGGAATCCTGTCCTCAATCACGACGAACAAATCATTCCATCGTTAATTCTCCTCAGCTAGAGTATAAAAGTAAAACTTCTTTACCAACTGCACAACATCAGAGACAGTAGTTCTAGTTTATGAAGATAACCTGCATGCAGTGATATGTGCTGTTATTGGACTTACAGTCATTCACATAATTTAATAACACTGTCATACTAATTGGCAAAGCAATGTTATGTCATTTATGTCACAACAAAAACTACATATGACATAGAATGCTGGAAATTACACCTGTTTCCCTGAAAGATAAACGTTGAGTAATAATGTCACCACCTGTAATCAAGATATACAGCGAGGGCTTGTGGTAGATATGGTTCATTAAATTGCTCCAACAAAGTCGTTACAGTGCAGCCATTATCTAAATTGTGAACAGATAATGCCATTACAGCACTAATTAAACATAAGTGTCCCAAGAAAGAACTCAAGAGACTGAGGTTGTTTGGACTCTGCAATGATACCTAAGGATTGTAGTTGGCCTCAAAACTAGTTTGTGAGATCACGATTAAACAAGGGATACCGTTACATCAAATTTTTTTTTTATTTACTGTCCCCGAGCGCTTATTGGCTAATACAACCGACATAAAATGGCTCCAAAATCGAATGCTGCAATTAATACTTCTTAAATAAGGGCGAAGAAAATTGAATAATTAACACATTTGATGAATTAAAGCAGCATAGATGTCTTCTGTTAAAGGTTTTGAAGATAAATAACAATGAAAATAATACATTTTCATTCCAACAACCACCTGCCAAATCAGATCCTGTTCGAATTATTGATTTGAAAAGTGACACTTCGGAATCTCAGTTCCTCGTATTATGAAACAGAGGTTAATTTATAAT